ACAAGACTGCCTCTGTATGCAAACACGGTTTTTGAAAATGTGCACTGGGTCACAAAACGTTTAAAGACTTGAGCAATCGCAAGCCCGCATATGCGTCTTACCAGTTAGATAGACCGTCATTTACCCGACATTTATTATCGGGAGGTAAATATTTGACGTTCAGCTGAGTTTACAGATCGGGAGGAGTGTATGCCACTTTTTGTGTAAGTTTAGATGTTTCGGTACAATTCCTTTATTAAGGTTAGTTTGGCAAGATATTATTAGTGGGAGTGTTAAGGATAGCATGCCGCCGTGGATAACTATGCATCGGTATTTACTTTTGGCTGCGACCCGAACTGCCGTGATGGTTTCTTCTATTGGATTCCCGTCATGACCACTACGACAGGCAAATGTCTTCTCAGTAACTTCTGATTTTTTCCGGTACAATCCTCCATACTGCACGGCTTCGGGGTCTACCAAGCCATATTCAATCCACTTTTCCTAGATATTTGAGGGTTTTTTCAGATAGCTGCGTTGAAATTCCCTACCAAATCCTATTTATCACATTGAAAACATTTTTCCGGTGACGCATTTCTGCTCAGTGCGTGTTAAGGAATGCCTGGAATAATATATTCTGCATGGGTCTTCGTCAATTATTCAAATGATGCTTGCCGTCAGACGCGGGGTTATGGTTCTCAGCCGTGTTTCCGCTATGATGTGGCGTAGTTGATGCCTGAAGTTTCTTGACTACGTCCTGAACTCCTACACTCAATCACAAACTTATTCTTTGCTTGCAAGTCTGCAGCAAGCGTACTTGGATGTGCTAACCCAGTTATTTCAGACTCACCAAAAATTGCATAATTTAAACAGAAGGCTGTTACTAAAGTCCTTTTAGGATGATGCACTTCCCGTTACCGAACCCTCTCACAACCCTTCTCTATCTCTAGGACACAAAGTAGGACTTTCAGAGGCATTAGACTCACGGCTATTTCTGACTGAGTAAGCACGAATTAGCCTTATCGTGTCATTCACGCCATTTTCCGATATTGGTAGGCGTAGTTTACCCTCCCCAAGTAATTTATTTTTCTGCGCATGAGTGTGCTTTTCCGGACAAATGCCCATTCACTTTCGCGAATAACATCACTACACAGTACATCGCCCAAACATTTACTAGAAAACGGAGGTTGTTATGCTGGCTGAGCCGGAGACATGACGTATGTGCCATGTCCAGCATTTGTTCATCCGGCAAAATAGTCTAATGAGGTGCGTACCAATGAGCGTAAACTTCCGGTTCGCCCACATTGCCTGGAGAGCTGGATTTGCACACAAAAGTTTCCACGAGTATAACCACCATTTATAACTTATTCCCTGCTTGTGTAAGGCTGTTCGGCCGGATAGGACAGCAGGCATTCCGCAGACATTTGGACCTCTGCCTTCACGCACAGGAGGGCATGTTGGGTTAGGTTGTGCCTGTCAGCGAGCCGCATACGTACGTACGAGTTCCAGGCCTGCTAAATGCTCGCTCGGCACTCCTTCCATCTGTCGTAATGAGGAGGGGCGTGTAAAGTCAGTGAACGATCTGGCAAAATGTTAACCCGAAATTATTAGATGTTTTTTTTTCGATTGACGAGGATTGTTTAGATGGGGTTAAACTGCTGACTATTATGCAGTATAATTCCGAGATAATTCCATCACGCCAGGATGCTTGCTTTGGAATCTACTTCTTTTCGGTCGCCTAAAAAATTTGTTTTCACCAAAAAATGGTCCATTAATTTATGTGCATTTTTCTATTGACTTTCGATGTGCTTATAGGTTTAGATATGTTTTATAGAAAACGCGCAAAACACGTTCTTTTAAGTACTCATTTTGTAGCGCAATACGTAGGCTTCTTGAAAATTTATTTTAGTTTCAAAAAGTTTGTAACTATGGGACTTTTAAGGCCATTAGATGTCTACGGCATCCACAGTTAACTAGTTTCCCTTATGGAGTCCACAACATGATTCAGATTTATCGTAAAGTTGCGAGAGCCGTATATGGCATCTTCTCAATGACATAGATGGGGGTATAACTTACCTTACAAAGCAAGTACCCAGCTTCTGGACTCTAAACTCTGAATATAAATTAACTGACAGATCGGGCTAAGAACAATCCAGGAAAAGAGAAACTTTTCGAAACCTAAATATACCCTTTCTTCGAGTATGAAATTAAAAGAACACAGGATGAACTACCAAATTAGTGCAAGAAAAGATAGTTCTGCTCATTTTTTTCTTCAAAATGTATATGAGTGTGTAAGGGCATCGAAGATCAAAAGGATAGATTCACGCTGATTAAATAATGGTTCGATCGTCGGTTTCGACGATGTCCAACGTGTGCTCGATTGCGATGCGAAGCAGGGACAGTGACTTGCGCTTGATCTAGTTTATAGTAAATTTAAACTTGCACAGCATTTACCGCGCTCTCTCCTGTCACCCCCCCAACCTGGACCCCGTGCCATGACGGAGTCAAGAGTGCGTGGAAGGAGCTGTTTCAGCCCGACTCTCAGTCCACCAGTCCGCCACTCCAAACAAACACAGACTACCGGACGGACTACGTTTACTGAGTTATGGCATCAGTCAGCAGACTTCCAATTCGCGGCGCTTGACGCGCCGGGATGATCTTAGGCTTGAGTCACCCATGCAACAGGAGCCACACGGAGACCGAGTCGAGACGCACACTTCCCACTTACGTGGATGGTGGCAGTTGGGTGCTTGCGGCGGGTAATACTGATGTGCGTGAGATGCTGGTGAGGGAGAATATTGTGGTGTGGTGTAGCCGGCGGTTGTCTTCTACAGGTGTTCATGGATGCGCATGTGACCGAATAGGCCCATACGACGCATGAATGTGCGAGGGCAGTGTGAACAAAGGAGGCAGATGTGGCGGGTGTAGGTTGATATTTAGGCACTGGCTCGCCAGTCTCTGTGCGATAGATTTGCAAGTGACCGACCAGGCCGATGCGTGAGGTGAATGTGCTGGACAGTGTGGACACGAGACATCGATGGTGTCAGCTACGGAGATGATTGTGGTGGTGGACGCATTGAGCGACAGGGTGTGGGTGGGGCTGAGCGTGGTGGGTGTTGAGTGTGCACTGGGTGTGATGGAGCTGGTGGTCGGTGGCCACACAGGAAGACGGAGTGAGGAGGAGCTAGGCATGGTGGGTGTGCTGGAAGTATCAGGACTGCGGTCAGTACCGCTCTCGTGGATACGCATGTGGGCAAATAGGCCAGTGCGATGCATGAATGTGCGAGGGTAGTGTGTACGGTGGAGGCGGATGCGGCGCTGGTTCGCCAGTCTCTGTGCGATGGATTCGCCAGTGACTGACCAGTCCGATGCTTGAGGTGAAGGCGCGGTCGCAATGAGGACAGGTATAGCCCAGGTTCTCACAACTGCTGTCGTGGTTGTGTTGATGTTTGCTTCTGCACCAGCATTGTAAGTAACGTTGATATGCATGGCAGATGCCACAACGACAGACGTTAAGGCACTGGAGGAGGAGGAGGAGGAGGAGGAGGAGGAGGAGGAGGAGGGGGAGAAGAATAAGAAGATGATGAAGAAGAAGAAGAAGAAGAAGAAGAAGAAGAAGAAGAAGGCGTGCTTCTAGCACTTGGCCGGAAATTACGCATCCGAAAGTCGCCATTCTTACATGATAGAGCTATCATACGATCATCCCATGTGATAATTTCATTGTTGCAAAATATTTTAAAATCGAAAAATACAACTTCTTTAAATATGACAATTGTAAAAGGCGCAAATTTCGACCGAATAAATAGGAAAAATGTTACTCATGTTTTCTATAAAATATATTTGACTTTGTAAGAGCATCGAGAATCAATCGCAAAAATGCATACCACTTAAGTAGTTACTTCTTTACGGTATGCTGTTTTTGCAGACAACTAACAAAAAATGCATTCAGAAGCCGGCATCCCGGCCTACTTGGATATCTTTAAATTATGCTGCACTATAGTCAATATTATAACCCCACTGAAGCTGTCTTTTCTGATTAAATCGCATTTCAGGACTTCGGTCAACATTTCATAAGATTGCTCACCGAATGTAGGTGAGATTTTCCGATCGTCGTTGCTGCCTTGACTTGCCAGCATACTCGTCACAAATACCTTGCGGTGTTGATTGTCAGAGCACGAGACAGGTGGTGCGGTTAGTAAACTGTGTTTTCACTGGCAGACAGGAGTAAAGATGGGTCGGTTGACAACAGGTCTACTTATGCCTTAAATTCCCGGATTCACGCGAAACCTCTATTTTTGAGGCAAAAATGTTAAGTAAACGCGTATATTAACATGCCTTTTTCCCCTGACTTTTACTTCCAGCTTGCACCGTGGACCATTCTATTTAGGGCAGCTGTTTTTCCTAAGGCATGCTTCGCCGCCTTTTCCTTATTCAAATATTTTATTCGTCAGCATCTTCGGATTTTACCAAAGGAAAGGCTGTTTGGATTAATAAGAGAGTGCGAAATAAATAGACGGTATTCGTGTCTGCAGCTTGGATGTTATTGGTTTTCTTCGAACATTTCCCAGACCAATAACTGAGACCTTTAAACACTCGATGGGACACGTGAGTAACTACCTGCGTTCTACAGACGACCTTGCGCTGAACGCCAGAGGGAGTACTTATCCCCATGTCCTAATTTTTATTCGGATCCCTTGGAGTTTAGCGTAAGGATGCTCATTCACGTGGCTCATCAAATAAACTCCAAAAAAACTTTGCATTTATTCCGCCATATATTATTATGTTTGTTCAGACATTAATGACAGCTATGGGCGCGCATTACCGGAAACTGGCTACTGTTTCGATAAACCTGCTTGCCAGTGTTAATTAATTTTTACCATGTATAGTGCGGATACACGGAAAAGAAATACAAAATCACCGTACGTTTGATCATCTACGGGACTGACTGGTAGTTTTATAAAAGTGAGATTTAGAAGTTCTGAGTTTTGTGACAACCAGTGCAACTAGTCAGGTCCGAGGGCGTTATTTAATGGCTAATTGAGTGCACGTCATCTGCCCTCTCCCCAAAAAATCATCTCTTTCATATATTCACAGAAATATAAATGCTGTTAATCCGTGTACTTTTAAATTAACACTACAGTAGAGTCAAATACGCGGCACATTTAGGAGTTTTTTAAATCGATTTTTCCGTAACCTGCGTACTAACGAAGTCCACTAAAAGCTGCTAGCACAAGAATATCCTAATAAACGAAAGCAGACTTCCAAATCACACCGGAAAATCGCGAAGTGGTTAATTTTGCCGATGACTCATGGCCAACCGCATGAAAAAGTGTCCAGCACTTCGAATGTGGTTCCATAGCACATATAGTATTTAGAAAAGATGGCGACAGCTGTTCGGCCTTCGCAGATGGTGGCATTGATCGCTGCCTAGAAAGAAGGGAGCGGTTTACTTCCAATTTACTTTTGAGGGCAGTAGGCAAAACAGTTGAAAAACCTGGTATATGCGTGTCGACAGGTTAAAAAAAAGTTTTACAGGGACAATTTGGCATAAACTTTTTTAGCCTGGGGCTGGCATGCGCAGCACCTATCTCTCACCCTTCTCCGTCACCAAACTTTGTTCCGATGGTAAAACGAAGTCAAGAAAACTATAGGCGGACTCGGACGAAATGGCTGACTTATCCAAGTGGCTCGTCTGTACTTGTAAAACACGACTTGATTCCCATTGCACATACAGGCTAAACTGAATGACATACTTCCACTTAATTGAATTGTGCATATCATTACATGTGGCATTTCGCCACCCATACCGACGCTGACAAAGTGGAGCGCATGCATACTTCAAACGGGGATTGTGGTGTGTCGCGTATGTACGTGCTGTGGAGTCGATCGGCGTGTGGCGACGTGTTGCGATGAGATATGGGTCGTGTTGTTGCACTAAATATTTTCGTGGATTTGCATATGGGCGCATCGGTCCACCCGATAACCGAATTTTCTGTGAGAGTGTTGATAAGTTATAAAGGACTGATTGGCGCATGTTGGCACTACTGTGCGATGGATTCACTGGTGACTAAACAGGCTTATTTCTGACAAGAAGGAGCAGGCGCAGTGTGGACAGCCTAGAATTGAGACCACATTGATGGTGGCGGCAATGCTGGGGGTAATAGGGAGGATGTGTTGTACGAAGTGCAGCTTAATTCAGCAACGTTGTTGATTATGGTGACACTGTGTTGGAGCTTGTGTGGTGAAAGAGCCTTGTGACGGGAGTCCGGAATTTCTTGACGAGTCTGATGCGTTCTCTGATCGACACTGGTCCCTGGGATAAGAGATTCGCGCGATTCCCTCCTGGTTTTGGTCGGTTCTATGCGATGGGCATATAAACTGCGACTCCATTCCTTGCCTCAGTACGATGGCTCTACCGCTCACCGGGAAGTTTTCGTAGATCTCAGGACTGATTGGAAGAGAAGCAACCACACTGCGGCATACTGTGGTGAGGACTAATGATAGAAGCAATGGAAAGTGTGCAAAGGCAGAAGTTGCTTCCTATAGAACTTCGACCGCGCGTTTTGCGTTTGTAGACCACAGCCAAATTACAGACGGCTTGCTTGTCTAAAATTTGTTTAGAAAATCTTTTCTGGCCACTTTACCTATGCGAGAGTAAGCGGTGCTGACAATAAAATGGGTTGCTTAGTCATCCTAGGTGTTTGCTGAATTCCACTATGAATCATTTCGCTTGCTGAGCGGGAAGACGTCCAAATCACACTGGGCCGCTTACGGAATTCCTATAGTGAACTCCCTAGAACGCTTTCTGTTAAGAGGAGGAGGAGGAGGAGGAGGAGGGGGAGGAGGAGGAGGAGGGTTGGAGAGAGGAGGGAAAGACCGATGTGGGCACACGTCAGTTTGGCCTTCACGAACGTGATGTCCACATTGTGTCACACAACCAGATGGGTGCAGCTACGGTGACTTGCTCGTGAACTAGTTTATAGTGGTAGTGGACTTTGGCTGCGTTTACCGCAGTCTCGTCTCCATCACCCGCTGGTGTCCAGTGGCAAGACCAGGTCAGTGCGACCGGAGACGGGATCAGCGCAGTGGCTGACAGACCTAATCAGTCCGTGTGCGTGCCACGCACACCTGGTTCGCGCCATGTTGTGTAGGAGACATTACGGTCCAACTTTCCGTTCTGAGATTAGGGGGAACCAGTTATCTTGTCGCACCAGACTGCTTACCGCTTTGCTGAAAACGTTGGTCTTTAGGCCATTACAACAGTTGCGGCAGACGAGGACATCAAGAAGGGCCGGCTGGTTGTTCTCCTCCTCTATCGTTAATCTATGTCTGAGAAGGCGCCATTGAGAAGTTCTTTGAACGTTAGCACTTGGTCACGTTCATTGACGACGATGGCATCGTCCGCATACCGAGTCCAAAATTTCGGTCTGTGCTATTGGGAGCCCAACGACTTTACCCGTTGTAGAGCCGCCTCGACTGAATCCCAAAATTGGCATAAAACTGGCAATTTTCCAGTAAATTTTGGCCTTCTGAATGTATTTAGTTGTGTCCAGTACGACTGTGGAACGTCCCTTTTCCGCGGGCAAGACGACGATGCCTTTGTAGGCCTTGAGTTCTCTTGATGCATTACGTTCGAACTTGTGAGTATTTCGCGAAGCCTTTGAGTCATAATGAGGGACAGCACCTGGTGTCGGGAAAGGTTCTTCGTCCGATTCATGACACATTCCACTTCTGCAATCGTGTTGATAGGTTGGGCGTCAACTGTGTTGAATGAGGCTTCGTGCCGTAAAACCTGTACCTGCTACTTCCTCAGTTCCTTTGACTACGTGTTTTGTACCAGTACGCTCTTGTTGAATGACGTTGGACCAGACAGTATGCGGAATTCGTTCCCCACTTCTGGGTCGCTTTCTACTCGCGGGATCGTTCAGTCACGCTCTGCTGAAGCAGTTTTGTACCTTTCTGGCCTATGAACTCGCAGCATCTGCCATTCTCTTGGTCAGTTCTCTGACGGTATTTGAGAAGCCCCGCGTGGTAATCTTGAAGGAACACTCGGATCATTCGTCCTCCGTGTTGAGATACTGCCTGTCTCGCCAGCTCCGTGTTTACGGGGGGTTTGTTTGAAGTACATTTTGGCAACACCTTGTTATCGAGAAACCACTGCAGAGACTGGATCTGAGCATAAGTGGAGGCCCTTCGAAGAGCAAATTTTTCCCATTGTCAGGCCGATCGCAACGCGTCTCACCCCAACAAAGTGCCGACACATCACACTGTAAGTCAGCCGTTTCCGTATTGCCTGCGCGGAGGGAACGCGCGCCTGGGACATGTCCGAATGTGGATAATCTGTGACGAACTGCTTATCGATCACGACGCCGCAAGGCCGGGGGCTCAGTTACACGAGGAGTAGGCACTTAGCCATTAGGTGTAGGCGGGTGGACGCTGTCGACACGCCCAGTAGACTGTCACGGTATTTCGGTGTTCAAACAGCAACTTATTTTAGAGTTACGAAAATTCCCATGGAAGCATTCAGAAGACCAATTGGCAAGAGTACGTGTGTTTTCAAAAAATTCCTACCGGCCATTGCGGATATATTGGCCGCACGAGTAAACACTTATCCAAAGAATACGGGAACACCTCCCGGCACGGTTAAGAAAAGGCGAAACTAAAAGCCTAAACAGTGCCATTCTCGCATACACCGCTGATTTCGGGCATCATGTGGATCCCAGTGCAGACTTCTGTCAGATTAACAAGGTCCCACCGAACTACCCTCAGACACTGGGTCAGTTTCTGCTAGCAACAGCAGAGGCGATTGTCATCAGGTTACGAAAGTCGGTCTTGAGCGCGCAGAAGGACCTGGTTCACGCTCTACGCCTGCCGTAGCCAAAGGTCGGGCTAGTTGCATGCACTCCTCCGCGCCCTCCCTAATCCCTAACCCTTCTAAACCTCACTACCTCCCATTTCACCGTCTTGTATTCCCCCTTTCACTCCCTGTTTTCACATCCCACTTGTATGAAAAGGCGAACTGTAATCGATTTC